CACACACACACACACACACACACACACACACACACACACACATGTTTTCCTTTAGAAGGTGCACAAAGTAGCTTTTCAAATTTATGTATTTTAACTAAAATGTGAGATAAAGATACCTTTTGAAATTGTCATGATGTTTTGTATATAAAGCATACTTTCTAATACTACGCTAAGTTAAAAAAATGCAAGTATTGCCTTTGTATGCTGGAGGGATTAAACATGTAGACATTGACAGTTGATGTGAGAAGGCCCTTGAAGAATGTAAATGTTGAACTGATCTTAGTCAAGTTTGATGGGTAAATGGAAATAGAGAAATTTGGCAAGTATGTTAAATTGGCTAGGAGGAGGAAAATCATGAGCAATGGAACAAGTCAAACATTAAAGTTAAAAAAAATGTTTACTAAATCCCTAGTATAGAATGGACTTTGTATTTGTCATTGGACAAAAAATAGTGTTAAATATATAGTTCTGTCCTCTAGCTGTAGTAAATGTATGAAAGACATAATCCAAAATATAAGCTATTCTTTTGGGAATTGTAAAATGTAAAATTGGCCAGAGTATTCTATTCTGGAGTTGCAGAGACAGGATATAACTGTAGTGACAGTAAACTCTGGGTAGGGGAAATAGAAAAAAGGAGAATTATGATAATTTTAAAAGTTTAAGATTGGGAAGGCTAAACTGAATCAGAAATCTTAGAGCTGTAAAAGAAAAAAGAAGACTAAAAGCAGTTGTATATATTGTGATTGTTAAAATATGCTAATCTCTGGAGAAGATATACAGTGGCACCTCTTTTCACAAACTTAGTGTTTTATAATTTGGGGGAGGATCATCATATTTGCATTTGTGTGAAGATGGCCACATTTTGGTTTGTGTGGAGAAGAGGGCTCCAGCTGTGTTTGTCACTCAATGTGGAGTTGATGAACTGAAGTAAAATTTGTCAAACACTTTTGAGAACTGAACTGTTTGCACATAGAAACGGTTGTGAACCGAGGTATTATAGTACTGGGCTTACCTCCTGGTTTCACAAAGCTATGCCTCCCATTTTCTTCAGTTATAATGTGAAAATAATATGGTTGGAAAAATAGTAAATGTCTGGCTTAAGATTTTTATTAGAAATAAGTTCAAACAAAATAGTTGTAAGAATAAAAATAGTACAGTCTTTAGTCAGATTAATCTATTAATATTTTATCATCTTATCACCCCAAATATTTTATTACATGCATACATACCATACGCACCCCGAACAGAGGCCTTTTTTTTTCTTCCCTGAACTATTTGAGTAGAGATTACGTGCATCACGGACATTTATTCCTAAAAATAATTCAGTGTGTATTTCTGAAGATAGGAATATTCTCTTTCCATAGTAGTATGATCTGCTTCAGGATATTTATCATATATAAAAATACTTATGTTTAATTCATTACCCATATTCCACTTTTTTTAAATGACCCACTGGTATGTTTTATGGCATTTTCCTCTTCAATAAGAATCTAGTCCAGGATCACATACTGCATTTATTACATATTACTCAGTTTGCCTGCATGGAAGTTGTGCCATTCCTTTTGTCTTTCTACCTACAGTGTATGAGTGTACTTATTTCCTTACAGCCTTCCCAATAGAGTATACTATGAAAGTTTGGATTTTCTTAGTATGGAAGATGAAAAATGGTCTTTCGGTGCCCATTTAATTTGTATTCATTTTATGGGTAGATGCATGTTTTTTCGTAGGTATAAGAACTACTTTCTATAGGACATTTGGTGTTTTTTTCATACTCAGGACGGCCCCCCCCCCCCCGTACTGGTTATCAAACTCAGTACCTTGTGCTTGCAAGGCAGGCACTATGCCACAGAGCTAAATCCCCAGCCCATACTCAGATTTCTTTAAAGAAACATTAGCTATTTATCTGTGATACATATGGCAAATGTTTCCATTTTAATTATGTTCTATATTTTGTTTGGATATATTTTTGCACACAAAAATTTTATATTTGAAGTTTATCTCTAGCTAGAAAGCCTTTTCTTTTATCAACTTTCAGTTTATAGGAGTGAGTCACCTTTATTCCCCTAAATACTTGTATAGTTTTTTGTTTTGTTTCACAATTAGTTTTTGTACATTTTGTTTGTTTGTTGTTTGGTACCGGAGATCGAACTCAGGTCCTTGTGCTTGCCAGGCAGATTCCAGAACCGCTGAGCTAATTCTCTAGCCTCACAATTAGAATTTTTTATCTATTTGAAGTTAAT